ACCCCTACCCCCAACACACACACAACTCCACAAAGGGCCCTTCTTGGCCAGGTTAATCATTCTTGCAAACACAGACACTCGGGGACACAGGCACAGTTTTCACATATTTGCGGAGCTGTCATGTGGAAAAGGGAGCAGCGCAGTAGGGGGCAGGCGGAAGACACTGTGGGGGGCAGGTTTCAGCTCCTCCTGAACTGCCTGGGAGAGCAGCTATGTTGGGGTCAGGGGGTGGCTCCCTGTGCCTGAAAGTGGGCAATTCCACAAAGAAAATGTCTACCAGTACTTCCCTGCTCTCCCATTTACCCAGGGCTTTCCTGCAGGCTCTCTCGCTTACCCCGCCAGGCCGGAACCCCTTTTTACAGACAAGGAAACTGAGGCCCAAGGCCATTCAGCAGGTCTGTAGCTGAGCTTGGGTGGGAGCTCAAGTCCCCTGTCTGGAGAGGGAAGAAAAGAAGACCTGTCCACCCTTCAGCTGATACACCCACCAGGAGTCAAGACCCGGAGGCCTGTCTACACCCACTGAGCCTGGGCCAGGGGGAGGCAGCAGGAGTGAGCATCCCTTCAATAACAGTATTCAAGCAGGCTGTGTTGGCTAATTAAATGACCACTTCCCCACGGCCCTTTTGAACACAGGTTCTAGGAGGCCAGGACCTCTCTGGAGAGGAAAGTGGAAACTTCTGAACTGCTCTCAGAATCCCAGCCAACACTCTCTGAGCCACCCTCTGGGCCAAGGCTTCACACATATCATTTCAGTTCCCCTTCACAGTAACCCCTAAAGCACTGTCATCCCCACTTGCCACACAGGGCAACTGAGGCTCAGAAGCACAAAGTCACTTGCCTAGGCCATATAGCGAGTAAGTGACAAAAGCAGGGATGAAGCCCAGGTTTGCTTCCTGAATCCAAGTCCGTGCCCCTGCTACACCATCCTCAGGACAGCTCTCAGCCAGTTGCCAGGCTGTCCTGATTCCTTTGTGCCCAGTGCTGGTGCTAGGCGGCCAGAAGGCAGGACAAGGGCTCTTGGGGTGTCCCAAGGTCTGAGACCACTGTGATCCCTTCAGTGTTCAAAGTCCTTCCCTGCATGTCCCCTAGAAGGAGGAAGGGAGGCTGGACCCTGGACCTAGCAGAGTGATGTGGTCAGGACAGCATCAGGCCTCATAGCCCATGACACGGGAGATGTGGTGGCCTGGACCCACCTGGGCTCAGTGGTTATAGCCCTAAAGTCCAGCATCGTCATCTACAAGCCCAGAGTGAAGGCCAAAGAGCCTGCTTGCTGAGAAGCAGTGTAGTCAAGAAAGAGGGTGGGAGGAAGGGAGCCCTGGAGTCAAAAAGCCTGGACTCCACTTCTGGCTCAGTGCCTTTGCATGCTGTGTGTCCTTCCTCCAGGCACCTGCCCTCTCTGAGCCTCCATTTGCTCATCTGCAAAATGGGTGTGATAGAGGAGATATTTAAGAGTGTCAGGGAGGCCCAGGACCCAAGACAATTATTCAGTGACCTTGGTCCCCTACCCCAGGGTCTCCCTCCCAACATCCAGGCCACCTAATAGCAGAGGTCCAGCCCTGAGCTAGATAGACTCCAGCTCCCCCCGCTCAAAAGGCCCCAGGACCAGCTCCCCACTCTGACCACCACACCTACCAGCAGGATATCAGCAACCAGTGCCCAGTTGCAGGACAGAAGCAGTTCCCCAAGGGTCAGGAACACCTGTGGACAAATGGCAGCTGGGGTGAGGCCCCCTGGACCGCAGTCACCTAGCCCTCTGCGCACTGTTTCTTCCCGCTGTGGAGAGGGAGACTGAGGCTGTGCAGAGGAAGGCACCATCAAAGCTTATTGGGGTGGCCGAGTCTGGAACTGTGCTTCCAGTTCCAGCAGCCTCAAGGGTGTGTAGACAGTCCCATCTGGGCAGGTTGGGAGCCATGGCCCGGAAGAGAGTGCCAGGCCCAGGCCTGGGGACAGCACTCTCCCTGTTGGGCAGTCCCCAGGTCCAGTGCTTGAGGTCACCCCTGTGGCCCCAGTAGGAGGCAACCAGGACTTCCAGGTCACCTTTTGAGGTAGGAAAACAGGCTCGGAGAAGAGAAAAGCCTATCCCTCCTCTTTGCTCCCCTAAGGCCTGTGTACACTGACGTGTGCCCCCCCCTTGTGTCTGCTGGTAACTGGAGGCCACTTCGGGCCTGTCTCTCCAGCTCTCTGAACCCCCCTGCTGATGCTGAAGGATTAGGACAATCCTCATTCCACTCACTCAAGAAGAGTTTAATGAGGCAGCAAGAAGGAGAAAAAAAAAAGTCTTATTTCTCAGAGCTCCCAGGAGCTTATTGCTGGGGTGGAATTAGTCATTTGTGGAGTCACGGGGCTGTGCCCTGGGCAGCCCAGGCTTTCTCTCCCAAAGGCCCATGAGCACCCAGGGCAGAGGAACCGGGGGACCACTGCCTGCACACCTACTTTGTGCCAGGCATGTCCGCTCTGATAACCCATCTGACCTCTCAGCCACCTCATAAGGTATATATCATTACACCCATTTCACAGGTGAGGAGACTCAAGCCCAAGGTTACACATCAAACCACTTTCCAGCAAGCCCCTCACCCCTGTGACTGGCCCTGTGCAAGGAGACAGAAAGCTGAGGGTGGGGGGAGGCTCCATAGAGGCCTCAGCAGCCACGGTGCCCAGTGACACTGGTAGGAGGGAAGTCAGAGAAAAGCCCAGGATGGAGAGGGCTTCTGGGTGGAGGTGGTGCTGAGCAAAGCCCTGAAGGATGGGCAGGATCAGGATGGGCAGAGAAGAGCCCCGAGGCCACGAGGCAGAGAACCTGCTAGAGCAGAGGCAGAGGGGAAGGCACCCACCGCGCAGGCGGGGCTGGAACAGGGCCCAGTGTGGAGGGAGAGGGCAGACTGTGCGTTCTCTCAGGCTAACCAGTCCCTGGCCCTCTGCAGTCAAGCTCGGGGACCCTTGAGGGCAGGGCGGGTCTCCCTCTGGACACCCACAGGCGTGGGAATCAGACCTGCTGGCAGGCAGGACTCAGGCGGGGCCCAGGCCTGCTGCGGACGTGCATTCCAGCCTGACAGGATTTGTCACCCCAGCCTCCTGAGGCCACATGAAAGCCTGGGCTGGGCTCACAGCCACCCCTCCTCACATTCCAGCCACTTCCACCTGGATCGCCACCTCCAGCTTGCTGCCACCAGCCCCAGGGACCTCCCTGCCCAGTGCTGCAGCCTCCGCCTGTCTCTCCCTGCCCCTCACACCCACAGGACACGCTGAAATACACCTTTTCCTTCCTGCAGCTGGAGCAGGGTGGATCCTGACCCCAGAATAGAGCCGATCAGAAGGAGGCTGCAGTCACAATGGGGCCATTCAGGCCAAACAAGCCGCCCCGAGGATGCCAGGTTTCCCCAGACACACCTGGAAACCGGCCTCAAGCCACCAAATCAGTTTCCACTCACCGGCTTTGAGGGGCCAAAGTCCTGGCTGGGGAGAAGCCGCCTCCCAATCCCACAATTACAGTATCCTGAGCCGGCTGCTCAAGGAGGGGCTCCCCAACAAAGGGGTGTGCCCTCCTGGGTGGATGGCCTGGCCCCACTCTGCCATGCTGGGCTACCCTGGGGTGGTCGCCACCCTCTGGGCCTTGATTCCCCAACCAAACAACAATTGGGGTGGCCCAGAAGCTCTGCCGGGAGCCTCCAGCGCCAACAGCTGGTGTTTCTAAAGCTGGGACCCTCTCCTGGCACTGCTCTGCTCGTGTTCCCCACAGGCTGCGTGCAGTTTGGGTCTTAGAGCTCAGTGGCTTCCATAACCAACTCAGACTCGGTTTCTCAATTCAACATGAGAAAGGGCCGTGGCTTGAAACAGTCACCATGAAGATTAGCCAATTGTTTCAAGCTACTTCCACAGGGCTGCCCCAGCCCCACAGTGCTGGCCTCTTCTGATGGCCACAGGCTCCTCTCACTGACCAGGTCCCCAAACTCATTCTCTCCTCCTGTGCCCCCATGTCACTGTCCTCACTGTGTCTGAGCTGGCCAGAACACAGGCCCCAGACACAGACTGGCCGCCAGCAAGCTCCAAAGCTGCTCTCTGGGAAGGCTCTGTGCCCACACCACTCAGGCCAGACACAGGGCGGGAGGCAGGAGCGCCTACGTGCCTGGCTCACCCTCACAGCCCCCCAGCCACCGAATCCTGTCCGTTCTGCATCCTAAACGACCCTCCAATCGGCCCGTTTCTTTTGACCGCTGCTGCTGGCCTGGTCCAGGCCTCCCCTTCTCCCTCCTCCTCACCAGTTTCCCAGGCCCCACAATCCCTTGCCCCCAGGGCTGCGGGGATTTCCAAAAGGGAAATCTGATTCTGCCCTTGTCCCCTTAGCCTTAGGGCCTGGCCTGCTCCCCTGCGCCCTGACTTAGGCTCCCTGGGTGATAGGGCCTGGGAACGCTGCCTGGAGCCTGAGAATTGTTGCCCCTCAGCCTCTGGCCTTTTCCACTTTAAACTCAAGAGGATTTCCCCCTTGAGCTGGGGCAGCACTGATGACTGTCCCTGGCCTTAATCGCCCCTGGCCACAGAGGCAGGCATACACAAACACGTACACGTACACGCACATGCACATGCACACGCACACGCTCACGCTCACACTGATGCAGGCACAGGAGCACACACACACACACGTGCACATGCAAGATCTCATACACGTGTCCACAAGCTTAAGCACACGTGCACAATCACGCACGTGCACACATACATGGATACTCATAACCTGGGACACACACAAAACTCACACACCACAAGTACATACATATGCAGGTAATGACATTCTAAAATATTAAAACTCAGGTGGCAATAGCGCCAACCAGCTAGACGGTGGTTATAAACACTGGTACACACTTGCTGGGGTTAACTTGGTGAAAAACAGCTTATCATGTGCATGTGCATGTGCATGTGCATGTGCTAGCTTGTGGTCCCATAACATGGACAGCACACACAATCACATGTGCACATACGTATGCATGTGCGCAAACATACTCATACCCTCTCACTCATGCACAGGGACATGCATACCCTCGGACCTTCACACATACACACACACACACACATACACACCTCTTCTCAGGTACACCTGCCCACATAGGTAGGCATGGAAGGGAGCAAGAGGAAAGATGAAGCCCCTGCCTAGAGAAGGGTCAGTCCCTACGGGGTGGTGGGCAGTGTCTCCACCTTGGTCCATCTAAGTCTTCCAAATGGCCAGTCACTCATCTCTGACCTGAAAAGAATGAATCCTAGGCCCCGCCAGAAAAGAAGGCAGGCATCCTCCAAAAACCTGTGGAGATGGGCAGGGCTAAGAGCCGATTCTCTCCTTTTATGGATCAATTCATCTCCCAGTGTGGCTGGTCCAGTCAGGACACAGGCCCCAGGCACAGACTGGCTGCCAGCAAGCTGCCGTGCTGGCTGGCACACTTTGCCCCTGGGCCTGCCAATCTGTAATTGCAGAGACTGGCTTCAGGGCACAAGGGCACCACCTGTTTCCCAGGGGCCAGCAACAGCCCAGCAGCCTGGTAGGCAGGCAGGTGGGGAGTAGGGCAGTGAGGGAGCAGAGCTCTGGTGTCCTGGGGAATTCAGCAGAGATTGTGGGCTCTCTGGGTGGGCCAGGCTGCCCATCCAAGAAGAGACACCTGCTAGATCTTGGCAGGGAAGTGGGGCCTTCAGAGGAAGGGTGAGTGGCTCTCTCAGGCCCTCTGAGGTGGCCCCTGGCAAGTCTGGTGACTCCAGCCCAAGATGCAATGCAAGATAAAGGGCTTATTTAAGAAGCTTCCCAAGGCTAAGTTGTAAGAGAGGCTCCCAGAGCTGGGGCGCCTGCACAGCCTAGCTATCTGCTGCCGCCCCCAAAGGCCAGAGAGAAGACTACAGCTGTGGTGGGCACACATCCTGGCAGATCCCTGCCAACCACTTCCCAAATTTTCCCCGTGGGCACCAGGCTGGTCAGATACTGGGCCTCTATCCTTGGTCCTTGCTCAGGAGCCTTCAAAGCTCAGGACAGCATCCCTGCTGGATGTAAAGGCCTTGGAGACAGCCAAGCTGGCTCTGTCCTGGGTAGTGGTGGCCACATCTCTCCTCAGGCAAGTAGGGAACTCAGAGCTCTGATCTAGTTTGGCCTGGAAGGGGTCTTAAAGTCATCTGGGGCAGCTCCTGCGTAAAGATGGAAACACAGGCTTCCCTTCCCCCCAAAAGTAAAAAAATAGTAAGTCAGAAAAAAGGTGTTTTTCACCAAAGAACAAAACTTAATGAGATAAACATTAAATATTGGCAGATGAGGGGAAAAAACAGACAATCTGGACTAGACTAGAGTGTATAGCCCTTCTCGGCTCCCCTCCCCAAAACTATTCTCCAAAATCCCCACACCGGAGGGAAATAAGCTGAAGGGTCCTTAGTCCCCACTCTTGACTGAGAACCAGTGGGAAAAGCTGCTGGGGAAATGGGTAAAAGTGGAGAAAGCAAACAATGGCTCCAGTTACTGATTCCACTCAAGGCCAGAGCACAGCCCCCGCCCCAGAAGGGGATGCACCCAGTAATTAAGAAGAATTGGTAGAGCATTTACCTAAATCCCAGAAGAGAGGACAGAGCCCAGGTGTTGGAACAAAGACTCCTCACTGCCTCACCTGAGCCCTGCAATTCCCGCAGGCGACAGAAAACCTAATGCTCGACTCAAACTACAGCCCCTTTGGAGAAGAGAA